GTTTTTCTCCGGGACCGGGAACCAAACTCACGACCTGGCGCATGCCAGGCAGGCGCTTTTGCCGCTGAGCTAAATCCCCAGCCCTCCCCAGCCTTTTTATTACTTACTTAGATGGGAAATTATAAGCACAGAGTGCATTAGTTATTCATGAGCATGCAATAAAATTACAGTTTCTGTAGGAATCTGAGTCTCTTTAAACTGGTTGCCTCTGTTCAAGAACTTAATGCTGTAATCAAGGTGTTGGTGAGGGCTGTGTTCTTACAAAAGGGCTTGGCTTTTGAACACTATGATTCTTCGTCTTTGTGAGCTATGTTGGTTTGAAGGCCTCAGTTTCTTGTTTTTGGAAGCTGGAGGTGCTTGGGCCTCTCTCCATTCATATGACAGTACTGTATCTTTCAAAATGTGCAAAAAAGTACACAAAGATGAGGTTAAAACAAGATGCCAAAAAAAAAAAAAAAGAAAAAACATAAAGCAGAAAACGCTTTTTTTGGGGTAATCATGGAGGTGACATCCCATCATCCGTGCTGTATTCTATTCCTTAGAAACTAGTGACTAAAGCCAGCCAGTCATTACAAGAGAGGGGATTCTGCAAGGCTGAGGCTACCATCAGGCAAGAATCCTTGTAGGCGATTGGTTTGGAGTCATTATCTTTACTTTTCCACTATGGTGGCATCACTTTGGAAATTATTTTCTTTCCTAAATTTGTTTAATATCAAATTGTGAGGGTTAATTGTGAGGCTCTTTGAGGGTTAAGTGAAGTCACCTATGTATGTAAAATACTTGGCACATAGTAAGTTCTCAAAAAGTAGCTATTGTTTTGAAAAAAATGCAATTCACTGAGCTTACATCTGATTTTTTGTTTGTTTTTTTGAAACGGGGTCTCTGTGTAGTTCAGGCTGGTCTTGAATGCAGTGTGTAGCCCAGGCTGGCCTCAAACTTGCAGTGATTCTCCTGGCTCAGCCTCCTGAGTGCTGGGATTACAGGTGTGTGCCACACCTGACTCTGATTTTTTTTAATTAGAAATTTGAGTTACTCAGATTTCCGAATGTTGACATTCTGAGTCTCCATTTTATATCTCACTTGAGAGAATTCTGATACATTGTGACTGTAAGAATTTTGAGCTGGGTATGGTGGTGCATTGCCTTTTGAGAGACTGAGACAAGAGGATTGAAACTTCATTTTCTTTTTGTCTTTTTTGAGACAAGATCTTGCTATGCAGTTCAGGATGGCCTTGACCTCACTTTGTAGCCCAGGCTGGTCTCAACTCGCAACAATCCTCCTGCCTCAGCCTCCTGAGTGCTGGAATTACAGGTGTGCTCCACCACACCCAGCTGAGGATTGAAACTTTGAGCCCAGCCTTAGTAAGACCCTGTCTCAAAAGAAGAGAAAGAAGAAAGAAAAGGTTTTGGGGTATAGCCCTGGGTTCAATCCCCAGGGCCCCCCCAATTGAAAATACCAATTTTCTTAAATAATTATTTTTGTTTCAGATGCTTGGTATGACATTAGATATCCCTAAATTCATTAATTTTTTTTTTTTAAATTCCCAAATAAAGCTATATTGTTCGAGATAATTCAGAACTTGGAAAAGATAATCTTTGTGGAAAAAGTCTCTGCAAGCTCTGTTACTGTAGTTATAGTTTATATTGAAGGAGTGATTGAAATATATAGTGATTATTTAAATACAAATTTATTATAGTAAAAGACACATTGCCATTAATTCTCCTCAAAATACTCCCATGAACCCCTTTCCTGTAAATACACTTATCTCGTTCTTGCCCCTTGTTTTTTGAGAAAGAATATGGCTGTGCAGTTCAAGCTGGCCTTGAACTCACTATGTAGCCCAGGTTGGCCTTGAACTTGGGGCAGTCTTTGCACTTTGATTACAGATGCATTTTGTCACTTGCTGAAGCAGTTCTGGAAGTCATGTTTCGTGAATGTCTTGAGGAGGTATGATTAAAAAGTATAGTGGGTGCTGCTGTTGGGTATCTACCTTCACAAAGGCAGGTTTGTTTTTAGTGTATGTGCTGCCGAAGTGAGCACAGGGCAGGCTCATAAAGCCTCATCCACCTTCTTCACTGTTTCTGGCACTATGTGGTTTCTGGCTCTTCCCCAAAGTCAAATGACCATGAGAGGTAAATGTTTTGAACTAATTCCAGTCTTCAAGGCAGCCACTACGGTGCAACTAATGACACTTATGTAAAAGGACTTCCAGAACTGCTCCAGGAAGTGCCAAAGCAATGGGATAATTGTTTGAGACAAGGAGTATTTTGAGGAAGATTAGTGGCATGGCAGTGTATTTTTTATTGTAATAAAGTTTAAAAACATTTAAATGTTCTCTGTATTTTTTAGTCACATCACATATTTGAAGAGATGGTCTTAAGCCAGGCAGAGTAGCACACATTTATAATCCCAGCAGTCTGGGAAGCTGAGGCAGGAGGATGAGAAGTTTGAGCTCAGCTTGGGCAATTAACTGATTTAATGAGATTTTGTCTCCAAAGAAAAGGTGGGGGATGAGGAAGTAGCTCATTTAATTTAATTAATTTAAGTGAAGGCCTTAAATTCAGTCCCTAATACCACAAAAGAAGAGATTTTTTTCTTTGAAGAGATTTACTCATATTTGATGTTGACCTGGTTTGATGATAAAAATTGATTTATTCTTTCTTCCATCTGTTTTTCTTTTTTTAATTTGGAGAATTTAAACCATTTCTTGTATGTAAACACAGTACTCATGTAAAATGGTATTATCTTAAGAATCCCCTGCTAATAAATCAGTAGAACAGAAAAAAGGGGTGAGAGAGAAGATCAGGCATTGGGAAAGATGCTTTTTAGAATTCTGGTACTTTGAATATGATCATGTATTATGTGGTTAGTTATGATCAAAATCTCTTTGAGTGATTGACCTCTGGTTTAGAATGCTGATATTATGGCCTTTTTAATGTTCTAGGTTATGCATTTAAGTTAATATGGTGTCCAAAATGTTAGATATATTTTGGGAAAATCATGGCTGCTTAACTGAAATCCAAAAGAAACGCATAGCCCAAACTGATAACTTCCATTTGGTTTGTTTGAAGTATTTTGAAGTATAATTCTGTAGGTGGAAATAGTATTTAAATTTTTTTGATATATAATTTTATTTTTACTAGAAAAATGTACATTTTATTATGAGCTCTAAGAGGGAGAGATATTTGTTATCTTAATATGTAATTGAAGTCCTTATCATTACTGTTTAGTAGGAAGTAAGTATTCTTGAATTATTCCAGGATAATTTTTTTTTTCTCTCAATCTCTTCTACTACCAACAGTCTACCCTCCAAACTCTTTCACAATTATGAAATCATATACGCTTAATAGTTGAGGGAGAGAAGTGAAAATAGCAAAATAGTTTTTGTTGGCTCCAAACTGTTACCTTAGTGCCTTTTCCCTTAGCACACTTCTGTTACCTTTCTTGAGTCATCGGTTGTGGGAATTCCCTGGTGCTCTGAACATACCATGCTCTGAAATTTAAGATGCCATCATTTTAAAAACAAAGTCTGGTTACTGTTCATCTAAGAATTTATTTTTTATTTAGTGGTTTGTAATTGGTTTTATTAAATGATTTAATCTCTAAAAATTTAAAGTTTGATTATACTTTGGAAGATCACAGATATTTTCATAACTTTTTTTTTGTACCAGAAATTGAACTCAGGACCTTGTGCTTGTCAGGCAGGTGCTGTGCCGCTGAGCTATATTCCCAGCCCATGTTTCATAACCTTATGTCTGTGTCTATTTCTGACTCTGGGTCATGTTATCTTTGTGCTTCATTGAGATGAATTTACCAAACTGTCTTTGGTCAAGTACAGTTTCTTCCAGATGAATTGCTTGCTTATCTTCTTTTTTAGAAGATAAGTTTTCTGTTTTCTGTTTTCTGTTCCACAAAATTGAAGTTACTTAAACACCAAATACAAACATATTAAAATTAAAGAAAACATGCGTAATAGTCAACATTGGTTTGGGGTTGAATAAAGAGTATTTTTTAAAAGTTGGAAGAATAATGTTCACTTAAAGTTTTTGATCTTGGCGGTAATTGTGTAGATTTAAGTATGAACTGACATTTGAAACTTCAGAGCTTTTTAAAGTTGTTCAGCTCCTGTGCTACTCTGTTTGTAATATACGTTACTTAAAAATAAGTACTAGAAATTTTATTTAATAACCTTTCCTATATGGTATATTTTTGGTGGTTATTAATTTCTATAAATAATAATCTTTATGGTTTCTTTTATTTACAGAATTCTGCTTGGTCAGAGTCGTGATGGCATTGTGTTCAGCACTGATGACTATTTTCACCATCAAGACGGGTACAGGTATAATGTTAATCAGCTTGGTGATGCCCATGACTGGAATCAGAACAGAGGTGCGTTTTGGGCCAGATCTCCTAGGGTGAATATTTGACTAGGGGGTCAGAAAAAACCTAGGTTTTATTGTGGACTTAGACTTTTAGTAGCACAATGACTTTGACAAGTCACTTAAATGGCTTTGAGTTCCAGTTTCTTCTTCAGTAAGAGGTGATTAATATGTGTCCTAGCTCATCAAAGTTGTCACAAAAATCAGTGAATTTAGATAAAACATTTTGGGGGGGGGGTTTATAGTTCAGTGGCACAGTGCTTGCCTGGCAAGTGTGAGGTCCTGAGTATGATTTCCAGTACCAAAATAAAAAAGAAAGTAAAACATTTTGTTAAGTTGTAAATAGTATACCAGTATAAACTGGTAAAATAATACAGGTATGGAATGTTAGGCTTTATTTTATACTTCATGAATAAATTGAAAATTGAGAATTGAGAATTATGCTTTTATTGTGCTTTTAATTTTATTATTATAAATTGAGGATTATGCTATTGTTTTCCAGCTCTTAAAAATATAATGCCTGTAAATGCTAAAAAATTTCCTTCTTGATGCTGTTGTGTGAGAAATGTACTTATATTTTTTTAGAGAACGTGGGTCATTTCTTTTCATCATGAACAGTGTTTCTTAACCCTGGCTGTACATTTGAGTCACTTGAGGACCTCTTTAAAAAACTTACTCTGGGCTTCAGCTCCAGAGATTGTTTTAATTGATTTGGACTGGGGCCTAACTTTTTTTTGTATTTAAAGTTCTCACGTTTGGTAAGATTTGAAAACCATTGATGCAAAACTACGTAAATAAATGCATATACTATGTTATTTTTTAAAGGTGAATGCATAGTTGATTAAACAAATACTATGAGAAATTTCAAATTTAGATTGGAGAGGGTAGAATGAATCTCATAACCACCACACAAAATTATCAGTTACCAACATCTTAAAATGTAGCCAGTGTATCATTTTTAAAACATTTGCTCCCTTTTTAATTTGCTGAAGGATTTAAAAGCAAATTCTAGACATTATGCTTTATGCATTTCTAATTGACTGTCTTATGTAACCACATCTTATTTCACTGCAGTGCTATCATCACACATAAAACTAGCAGTTTCATAGCATTACCTAACCCAGTCTGTAATGAAATATCCCATCTTGCTTTAATTTCCTTTTACAGTTCTGTTTGAATTAGAATCTAAAGTCTTCAAAATAGATTTGGTATTATGTTTCCTTTAATTATATTAATCAATAGCAGTTTTGCTTTTCATTGGTGAATTGAGACCATTAACATTGATGGTTATACTGATACGTATTGACTTATTCTTGTCATATTATTTTCCTGTTTTGGGCTCTTTTTTTTGCTCCCTTCTGTTTAATTGTTTGCCTTGCCTAGTGGATTCATTCTATTGGGGTTCATGGAGTTGTAACCCTTGGAATCGCTTTCTGTAATATCCTTCAGAACATTTTGGACTGCTGGCTTGGTGGTCATGAATTTCCTCAGGTGTTCTTTGTTGTGGAAGTATCTTATTTCTCCATCAATTTTGAAAGATAGTTTTGAGCGGTACATCAGTGTGGGTTGGAGGTTGTTTTCTTTTAGGACTTGCAATACTTTAAGCTCTCCTTGATTTGAGGGTTTGTGTTGCGAAGTCTGCTGTGATTCTGATGGGCTTTCCTTTACAGGCACAGCCTATAGTATTTTTCATGACCCTTAGGCACTCTGTCTTTATTGTTTCTTTTCTCTTACAGCTTTTGATACTTTGTTCTTGTGTTGAATTTCTGGGATCTTGACTATTATATGCTTTGGAGTTCTCTATGCCTTACTTACATGTATGTTGAATTCTTGATTCCTGCTTGGGAAGTTTTCTGCTATAACTTTTTATTTATTTATACATACATACATACCAGGAATTGAACTCAGAACCTTGCACTTACCAGGCAGGCGCTTGTGCCACTAAGCTATATATCCCCAGCCCTATTTTTTAAACTATTTTTTATTTTACTTTTTTTTTTTTGAGACAGGGTCTGCTATGTAGTTCAGACTGGCTTTGAGCTAACTATGTAGCCCCCGCTGGGCTCAAACTCCTGGTGATTCTCTCCTGCGTCAGCCTCCTGACTGCTGGGATTACAAGTGTGTGTTACCTGGCTGCCATGATTTCTGTGAACAGGTTTTTTATGTTATATGGGCCATCTCCTGCTTTTTCATTGACTCTGATGTATCTTATGTTATTCTTTACCTCATCTGGCAGCTGCTGGATTGATTTTTTGTGGTCCCTTGCTGTTTTAAGAATTTATTCTTTTCGTGATTATTAGCCACAATCCTGTCTTCTGTACTTGATATTCTGTACTCGTATTGGCTCATTCTGCTGTGTATACTTTCAGTGGAGTTTTTAATCTGGATATCTGTTTGAATCTGTTTCATGGATTCCATTTCTTTCCTATGTTGGGCATTCATGGTTTCTGTCACTTTCCTATGCTGTTTTTTTTTTTTTTAATCTGTATCTGCTCTAGAGTCACAAAGCATGTCTTTCATTATGTAGTTATCTGAGAAATTATTTCTGATTTGATTTTTTCTAGAGCTTTGTTCATCTGCTTTGATACTTCCACTATTATCACTTCAGAGAGTCCAAGAGGGTGGCTTTTCCATTGTTACACCTCATTGCCCCTGGATTTGTGTTTGGTGAGCTGGAAGTCTGGGGGTGAATCTTGTTTTAAGTGTCTTCTCATTTTTTTTTTAGTTTAATTCCTGGGTTGATGCTTTTAAATTGCTTATGGCGAGTAGCTTTATTGGTAGCGTTTGGAACCCTTAGGAAGTGACTACTCAGAGGTGTTTTCCAGGTATAGCTGGCTTTTGGGTTTTCAGTCTGTTGCCACATTCTACCTCTTCAATTTATTGGGGGATGAGAAGTTGCTATCTACCTGGCCCAGCCCCTGGTTCTTTGGCACTGGCCTGTGGTATTTTTCATGACCCTTAGGCAGTCTCAGTCTTGGTATACCAAGAAGAACAGCTGATTAGAACAGTTATGTCACCTTGCCTAAAGTGGTGCAATAAACAACAACAATAGCATGAAACACAGTCTAGAAAATGACAAACCATAGTAGCTATTAATTTGCTACCTTTAATGTGTGAACTAGATTTGTGGTTATATAACAAAATCTAAAACGGACCAGAAAATTCTATGCAGTAAATAAGCCCTTGCTATGGCGATTTTACCCTTGGCAAAAATTTTAAAAGAGGTTGGGGGAAAAAATAGAGAAACAGAAAAAGAGTAACAAATTAGAAGCAAGGCAGGAGGACAAAGGAAGATCATGCAAACTATGGGAAATTGGTGAAGAAGACAAGAGGGAAAGAGAAGGAAGAAATAAAACAAAAACAGAACAATAATAACAGCAAAACTAGGGGCCAGGGATATAGCTCAGTGGTATAAGCGCCTGCCTGGCAAGCACAAGGTCCTGAGTTCACTTCCCAGTACCACAAAAAAAACCACCTAGAAGCTGTTCACACTCATATAAGAACAAAGAAAAACCAAGTAAAAAAAAAAAAAGAAGAGAAAAATTAAAAAAGAAAACAAAATTTGTCCACTTCCAGGCGTGTCTCTGCTGTCACTGGGAGACAACATTCGAAGACAGAGTCCACATCCGAGTTGATTAATCCCAGCAAGCCGGCTGTAGCTTTACACAGGGGTGGTGGGTAATCCCAGCAACCCTGTACCTTTAGTTCCACCAAGGTTCAGGCTGCTTTCTGGCTGTGAAGCCAGAGCTTGGCTCTCTGACCTGCCGAGTTCACTTGGCAGCCTGACCCTGTCGCTGGGAGCCACTAGATGGAGCTCACAGCTGTTTCCAGTTCTAAGCTCAGTTGGCCCCTCTCCCAGGTGGCTACTGGCCAATTGCCCTTTCCTGGGGAGCATCTGAGCCCAAATAACTTAGCAGCCACTGCAGTCCGCTGTGTCTACTGCAGTGTCCTACTGGTGCGTTTCTCAGTGGAGGCCTCTGGGGTTGCAGGAGTTACTGGGCATCTGCCGGTTGGAGCTGTCCCTCCCGTGCAGTGAGTCTGGGCTCAGGGAGAATGCGCTGCCTGCGACCTCTTTCTTCATTGAAGTTTCTCTCTTTGCTCTCCCCATGGGTTTCAGTTCTTGCTTCAGATCCTTCATGGGTTCTGGGAACCCATTTTCCTCCTCCTCTTCCTCGTGTTGCTCCCATTGCTACATTCCAGTGTCCGGACACCAAATCTTGAAGACGCTCTTTCTCTGCTGCTCACCACTCTGACATCTTCCAGGAGGTAGTTTTCCCTTTTTAAATCCTGACACTAGTCTCGGTTGTTTGTCCTATAATCCTGTAGTTGTCTGAAATTTGAACATGTCTGGTCCCAAGCATTTCATAGAAGAGATACTTAATCTATATTGGTTGGGTGACTTTCTAGGATTTCTCCAAATATATTTGAGTGTTGCATGAAAATCTCAAAAAAAACTCTTTTTGTATTTTAATGCCATAGAACATTGTTTAACAGTTCAAATAATGATATGTTACAATTCCAAAAGTGTTTGGAGTTATTGGTCTCAAGTTAAGAGAAGCAGGATGCAGTGATAAATGGAGTGAATAAAGAATAGTTGATTAAAATGTCTATTCCATATGAATTATACTTGCTAAATGTAATGGGGGTTTCTGGATAAACTACAGCATTGGTTTTCTTTTTTTTTTTTTTTTTTTTTCCCTGTACCGGGAACCAAACTCACGACCTTGTGCTTGCCAGGCAGGCGCTGTGCCGCTGAGCTAAATTCCCAGCCCTGCTTTTCTTTTCAGTATAACAAAAATAGAACTTTTCATGGTAATCATATCTGGCAGTCATTAGAGGAGTTTTGTGTGTGGGTGTTGGTGATACTGGGAATTGAACCCTGCAGAATTCCACTGCTGACCTACTCTCTGGCCCTTTTTATTTTTTGACTAAGGTTTTGCTAAGTTGCCTAAGCTTGCCTTGCGTTTGCAATCCTTTTGCCCCAGCCTCTTTGAGTAGTTGGGATTCTAG